TATTGGATTCAACATTTAAAAGAATTACTAACATATACAAATGTTGACACCTTCTCTTTCAGGTGGGGAGGCATTGTCATTTGTTGAAGACCTCTGGACTGCTGATATTACACTTATTAAACCTCCAGATGAATCTGTCTGCCTTAAGCTTTTGGTTCTAACTTTTACAGGAACTGAAAATGAGCATGTCATATGCTTTTGAACTTCATATTTCTGTTGGGAAACAAAGTTTAGTTGGAAATGTTAAAAATACAATAAATGTGCAGAAGACAGTACACTTTATGTAGCTAGTAACCAATTATAAGAAAATGGACTTACAGGTAGTTTAGAATGTGAGTGAAAAAAAACATTGTTATTGGTGGCAATGTAAAAAAAAACATTGTTGATTACCTTAAGAAACGTTGTGTGCCTCAATGCGCACACTGTCTCTGTGTGCGCACGGAGGTGGAGGATTTATTATTATTATTATTTATACAATGCTACCAATAACATTTTTTTCAACTATACAAATTTGATTAAATAAGCCAACGAAATCTTCACAATCCATATAAAAAAGTGAATTGTTTTATGTTGTTGGAGAGTTACCAAAAGAACGAAACCAGACAAATCTGAAATTCACCCAACAAAATCATCCAATCCCCATACTCAAGTCTCTAATATAAAGTATCGATCTCAATTTTAAAACTCAACCCACGCAGTCAAACATAAAGTTTATTATATATGAATACATCTCATAAAACCCATTAAATTTCACTCCCAAAATCAAGAAAATTCTCTCCGACCAATTGAAAACGTTCGTGAAATCAGAAAACAACTCATAGAAGATCTCCTCTTCAAAGAAAGTGAAAAAACCTAGAAATTCAGTCGAAAACAAAACCCAGAAGACGAAACCAGTCAGGAATGTGACAACAAAAACTACTACTTCCATAGCAAAGAGGAGGAATAAGGACGACGAAAATGCGAAGAGACAAAGAGGCTAAGCAAAGTTAAAACTCCAGAGGATTTGAAGAAGAATTAATATAAATAAATGACTATATAATGACACAAAAAAAGGAGAGAAATATAATGCAAACCTGAGGTGTATTCCAACTGCGTGAGATTGCCAAATTCTTCTAAGAGCAAAAAATCTATTGTTTGACAGCATTAGCCTTGAAAATGGAAAGGAAGGAGAAGTTTGCAATGGGAGGTTGCATGGAAAAATGGAGGAAGAGTGGATGGTTGCGTGAGATAATGGAGAATGAGGAATTGCGGTGTGGAAAATTTTTGATGAATTTTAGAGAATTAAAAAAGTCTTAAAAAGTACCATCAATCGTGTCATGGATTGCTGGTCCTAGTCTTAAACTCCTTGCGTATCAAGATTCTACAAGCATAATAGATAAATATATTGATAAAGGAGAAAGAGAGTTCATATGCACATTTTCGTAAAAAATATTTGTTTGTCTATTATTAATTCTTTTTTTTTTTTCATTTTAATTGTTTTAAGTAGAGAAAAATATTTTTTAAGAGATTCTTTTGCCCTTATTAAAATTGGTCAAATTAAGGTTAAACGATACATTTTCGAATTTTTGGATGGAAATTGTTAAAAATCCTCGGCTCACATTTATTGAAAGGTTTAGGAAGTAATTGCTATGATATAAAGGTTTAGGATCTGCTGCGCATTTTCAAAAGGTTTTAAACCTTGGCTGCAAATTTCCCTTGATAAAATGACGTCAAAAGAATGATTACAATTAAAAAAAAACTACATTATTAAAAAGGATATAATCTTCAATTCCAGTTATTAATTAAAAAAAAATCATAATGAAATTCAATTGGGTCATGATCCAATTTTCACTTTTGTTCTTTCACATCATCCATATCTTTGGTATCCCAAACATCATCCAATACCATGCGGTACCACACCCTTCAAAATCTTGTATTGAAGTTCTCATAATTTTTCACTCTTTTCACACAACCCGAACCTAGGAGGTCTAGCAAGATTTTCTGCACATCACCGTGGCCAAAACACGAGTGTGTAAATGATACACATCTGTTTCAAGTAGTCTTACTCATGCCTCCCATGACGACAATGAAAATAGTTTCAAGGTTTGATGTATCTATAACCCACCGGGTCTTGATCTACATCAAATTATTGTCAAGACCCAAGATGTCGCTCTTCCCACAGTGTAATTGTCACCATATCTGAGACGCGCACACACACATTGCACATGCTCATCAATCTTAAAATTGCCAATTTTTTTAGATTTTCAGTCCCGTCATGAATAAATGCAACATTTTCACACATTTTGTTGGAATAGCATATTCAGCACATCAGTAGCAGTAGATCAACACACCTTCATCTCACGTTCAGCTTCCAATTCAGCCTCTTATTCCAGATCATTCTTCAGTTAGTTTGTTAGTTGTTTGGTTCTAGATCCTTCTATTTGTTATGTAGTTAGGTTGTTAGTTTTTCTCTATAAATAGATTAATATGAAATGTAATTTCTTAAGTTGAATGAATGTAATTTTCATCTTCTTCTTTTGGTTCTCGATCCTTCTATTTGTTATGTAGTTAGGTTGTCAGTTTTTCTCTATAAATAGATTTATATGCAATGTAATTTCTTAATTTGAATGAATGTAATTTTCATCTTCTTCCCTGCCATTCCAGCAGGTTCTATCCATTTTATTTTTGAGTTTCTTCTTTTAATTTCTAAGATGGTATTAGAGCACTTTGTGCGTCCAAAGTCTGCTTCTCTGATTCTCGATTAAGCCTCAGATCCCTGATGCAACTTCAACAGTCCCTGGAGTTGGAATCTCCTATGGAAACCTTGTTCTCGTGGGTTTATTCTCGTGGGTTTCATTTCAGCCTTGAATATAGACAAGTTCAGAGCATTTTATTGTGCTTTTTGTTGCATTCTTCTACAGAATCTGAGTGAGAGAATCCAGTATCATTTCTTCTTCATTAGTTCTTTTCTTCAGCAAATGCAGATCCGGTTTCGAAGCCATGGTTGCTCACTAATTCCGGTTAAATTTTGCTGCTGATTTCGATCAAAATTCTTCAATTAATCTGGTCATTTCCTCTGAAGATAACTATGACTTCAGTTTTTAATCTTCATCTTTAATGAGCAATTCTACCATTATTGAGTGTTTTCCATGGAAATTATTCATATTTCCATTGTCTTTGTCCTCCTTTTATGGAGTTTTTAGTGGAAATTATTCCAATTCCATTTTCTAAATCCTTGTTCTCGATGGTATCCTTGTTCTCGATGGTATCATACCAGGTGTTCGATGTAATGACTGAGAAAGAAGGTAGACTGCATTTGCTAATCTTTGAACTCGAATATGAAGTTACTGTAATCTTCCACCGATTGCCTGCATCTCTACCATTCTTTTCTCCAAGTTCAAGATGTGCCGTCTTGAGGGGGGAGTGTTGGAATAGCATATTCAGCACATCAGTAGCAGCAGATCAGCACACCTTCAAATTCAGCCTCTTATTCTAGATCCTTCTTCAGTTAGTTTGTTAGTTGTTTGGTTCTAGATCCTTCTATTTGTTATGTAGTTAGGTTGTTAGTTTTTCTCTATAAATAGATTAATATGCAATGTAATTTCTTAAGTTGAATGAATGTAATTTTCATCTTCTTCCTTGCCATTCCAGCAGGTTCTATCCATTTTATTTTTTAGTTTCTTCTTTTAATTTCTAAGACATTTTCTTTGTCATTTGAAGTTTGTGTGATTGAATCAGAATGTGACTGGCATTGACCGTCCCGCATCCACCAAGTGTACAATACTATCTCTATCATCTACCAGAGATTTCTCGATTGGGAAACATAATGAAGCCTATGTGGACCAACCTTATGAAGGAACTTTTATGACATATTTGGCAATAAAACTTGTTAAAGTTTAAGCCCTTTGCCAAAAATGTATATCAGCTTTCCATAAGCATATATGTGCAGGCGTATTAGTCAATTACTAAACCCTATTTACTTGTGTTTTTCTTCCATTTCTTTCACATTTTTGAACTCAAAATTATTCCTAAGCACGAACCAATAATACACCTATCCTGAATTCATATACGAAGTAATGCATTTATCGGCACGATTACATTTGTGATTACACAAGTCATAAACTATTACCTAATATTAATTGAACCTTGTGTTAATATGACAACCTTGTATTGATATGAAATGTTCTAAACTTATTTTGACCTCCCATAAACAAAACAAGTAACTAATTATCTACTAGTGGTCAAGCTATCAAATAATTCAACAAGAATGCAATATCAATCAATCACACAAATTAACTAAATAATTGATCTTTGAATTAAAATGGTGAAACAATAGGTATCATGTTTATCCCAACACTAGAGAGTTTAGCCTAGCATATTTATAATGAAATTACAATAAGAAGATTAAAAATTCATCACCTGTAATGTATAAATACAGAAAATAAGTAGTAGAATCAATTTCTTGCCTTGAATTTTCAATCCCAAGCCTTGAATATTCAGTTTCTTGATGTTATTTGCCTTCAATCCTCTTGCTAGTCTTCTTCTCCGCGATAAAGTATCAAAAATTCTCGAAATTGGATGTTCAAAGTAAGTTAAATAATTCCATAAAAGTATTCTCAAATGTCCATACTTAACGATCTTGAAAAATGCATAAAACACACTTATAAAATACTCTCAAACTTGAACATTTATTTATCTTCGTATAAAATCATATATATGTCTCAACAAATAAGCATGAAACACAAAATTGCAAGATTGCTTGTCGCTTTGTCTAATTCTCCTGTTAAATCTATTTAAAAAAAAAATTCAATTCTCTCTAGATATATTTTTAATTACACATTTTATCAAAATTTATTAAAAATCTAATTATAATAAATAGCATGGGCTTAGTAGTCAATATAAAAATTACTCGTTGACAACTAAAAAAACGTGGTCGTATCTACTCTTCTCTTTCACGACGTTCCTCTTCTCAAGAACCACACAGATCACTGACTCAAACAATCTGAGTCTCTCTCTCCTCAATGGATCCTCTTATACATCTAGGAATCCTCTCACTTCTCTCTCTACACTACCAGGTTCTCTCTCTTTATATATATATATATATGTATCCGTGTATGTGTTTGCTAAATCAATTGGATCTTTTGAAGGAAACATTTAGATTGGATCTTACACATGTGGAAGTCGGAACTTGATAAGATTTTTTATTTCAATTCAGGTGGCCTATGGAGACCATTCTGTTGTTTTTCTCGATAGCCCAACTCGCAATTATCTTCGTCCTCCATCAGCTGAGGTATTTTTTTGTAGAATTTTTATTTGAATGATGTACTTGTATGTTTTAAAGATTATTTTAAATTCTTGAAAAATTGACAAATAGGTTCATTTGTAATGAAAAATTACTTTGAAGTCTAAAAAAAATCGAGTAATAGGTACATTTGTAACAAAAAGATAAATTTAAATTATATAAAAAAAAAATTAATAGGTGAGTGATACGATAGAAAAGTTAAGAATGCGTGATAGTAGGCGATTGAATAATCGATAACAACCTTTAAACTAAGGCCTTAAATTTTAAAGACAGTCTTTCTATATAGTTTGCTTAGCTTATTTAGTTATTTTCATGGCCTAATAGAAACATTATCTTCAATGGCTGTGTTTTCTTTAGGGGTCTTAGGATACAAAAATATTTTTATAGTGTTTCTAATCATAGCTTCATTGTCAACTTATTTTTTAAGATTAGTAATGCAGAAGCTTGTGAAGCTTGAGGAATTAGCCTTAGCATCTGGGGTTTGATCCCTAACTTCTCGAGCAAAAAGCTTTAGGGGATGGAGTTTGTTACTTTCCTTCCATTGCAATTAAATAGATCCACTTACTGTTGAGTAGTTATGCAGGGATCCAAGTATGAGAGAAATACTTCCATAAAACAGTGTTTTTGACCGTTAGTCTTGTGGAACACGTAATTGTGACTTGAAAACTGATACAGACTTTTTCCAGTTATATTTGTCAGTGGCTACCTTCGTATTTGTCTCGTAAAAGTTAAGCAGTTTACAAAGATGTGGCTTTCAGAAGTTTAAGGTTTACATAGTATGAAATTTTACGGTGCATCCATGTTAGTGGAGGTGTAAGATTAAGGGAATCCTGTTACATACAGTGTTGCTTTCCATTATGGCATTGCAAAAAGTCAAGCTTTTCGTTTAGTTTGAGTTGGAGCATGCTTAATAATTTTTCTTACTACTGCAGACTGATTCACTTACACTCTCGGAAGCTGGTGCTGCTGCATCGGTGTTGCTTGGCTTTGCACCCCCTTCTACACTATCAGCTGCCAGTTCATCCAAGGTAATATGAAAAATCAGAAGTAATGCTTTGTAAATTTATCTATGCTATCTCTATAACTATTTTGCTCCAGATATTCTGACTTGTTATTTTGGCAGCTGAGTAAGGTGCTTATGCCTAATCCATTTGATAGGCCCCGTTCTGTTTTCATGATTGAAGTTACAGGGGTTGAAGGTATGCCACTTAAACTAAACTACCTAAAAGCTGCAGCTTATAGTTTTTATGCATGATAAAGTTTTGAGTGACTGTTTTACATGTGCTGATTCTCATCTTATGATTGGCTCAGACAAATCTGCATTTAGCAGGGGTCTTAGGGTTAAGATCATGGGTGGTGAAGACAGAGTAGACGTTCAACTGTCAGGTAACTGACCTTTGTGATTGATTCATGGGTTCCCAGTCATGACCACATCAATTATTATATTCTTTTGTGTGCAGATGAACATGAAGTGTCTTTGGTCTCTCTGAATGAACGATCAAGCTATGCTGAATACTCAGATAAGGAACTAAGTGATTTTGTTAGTCATAGCTCTCTCTCTCTCTTTGTGGGTTCTTGTCTGTTCGCTAAGGTTAATTGACGTGGTCTTTGGTTTATATACTCAGGCATCCTGGTTGGGTGGATCATACGTTGAAGATTTGACAGGACCACTGAATGGAGAGTTGATAGTCCCCTTGGCAAATGATGCTCTTCTCAGACTCCGTATGTCTGAGGTATCAACAGCACCATGTCACTTGTTAGCAATAAGGACCTCTTTGATGTTGGTTGCTCTGTCTCTGTAAAATGCTGTTACTGAACTTTATTTCGAAAATTGCAGAAAGTTGACATGGAATTTACAACTAGTCTTATGTTTCTCATTAATAATATTCAACGGGCTATGGAGATGCATAAAAGATTGTCAGAAAGCAGGAACAGTCCAGCAGAGCTAATCACTGGAAGATTTGATGGGATTAAGGTCTTCAATTGTTTCTTCTTTTCTAATTCATTTCAGAACTTGTTATCTTGTTTTGGCTTGCCATAAGCCTGAAAATATATTTTTCAAGATGAGCAGTATTAATTTCCTGAACAATTGTCTACAACTTATATACCTTGGTCCGAAAATGATCTTCTACTGCTACACCAATCCACATTTTACATGTGGGAAAGAGTTTAGTCTGCTTGGGTTTTGCAGAGAACAACTCTTCCTTGAAAAAAATTAAGGTGCATGCACATTTGCTCTTGTATGAGAGAGGGATGTTGGAAAGAGTTTCATTTTCTTTTATTATTTCAAAAAACTAACCTTCCCTCTAGTAGCCCCATTTGATTTTAAGAATTGGGCTGAATAGAAAAAGGCAGACAAATAATTATCAGTCCTTTGTTCCCCTACATGTGTGGAAAGGATAAAGACTCACTTCAAACTTAGTAATGCTTTGAACTATTCAAATATGTTCAAACCAACAATGAAGAGTTAAAATATTTTCTATAATACTAAGATTTAATGGATAAAAAACAAGATCTTCAAAATTGCTGCAGGCATGGATGTTGGTAAATCCAGATGATTTTGAGTAATCCTGAATCCGCAATTCTACATTTTTCCCTTGTATCTTCTTAATCCTCTTCCACAGATGTGGCAGGCAGAGGGAAAGAAATGGAATGTGAATTGTGGAGAACGTGTTAAGATTTTAGATAGAGAAATCATTTGGGTTTCAGAGGAATGAGCTACTTACAAAACTAATATTCTTCTGACAACATCACCTGAAGGGATTGGCTATTTGAGCTCGGTGGTAAGTTGTTGCCGCTGTTTGGTGATTGGTAGTCATTGATCAACCTTGGGAGGTGAGGCAGAGGGTAAAAGAGGGAGGATGTGGTGCAGTACTTGGGGTTGGTTTGGTATTCTACCATCTAGGTTCATCCTAGAATTGGGATTTGTTAAATTTTAAGAGGGTAAGGGGTTCCTGGACTTTCTTTGGAAGGTCATTTATGGCATGATTACATATTTTTCCCTTCCCCAAGGAAGTGTGTATTGAGTTTGGAAATTCTGTCCACGGAAATTCTGCAAACTAAATGTGGGTTTCATGTCTGGGTGGAAGATGGGATGAGTGTGATCATTGTGGCAGCCAAATAATTGAGAAAGTCTTCTTTATATTCTCGTGAATAAATTATTACACTAGCTGATAAAGGCCCTGCAGCATGTTAATCTAAGTTTCTCACGTTTTTGAACTTTATCCATGAATCCTTTGCTTCTACAAATTTGTGAATGTACTTAGTGTCTTTACAATTTGTAATGATGAAATGTGTATAATAAATAAATTAATGTACTTCTGAACATTAAGAATGTTTGTAATAGTCCTCATGAGCCAATTGTGCATCTCCAATTGTGGTGCATTGGAGCAATTCATGCTTTTCTTTAGAATGAAAAAGTTGATTAAAAATTTCAACATAATTGCTACTTTTGTTTAAGTAACAAAGAACTGAAGAAATGTTAATTGGAATAACTTTTAGAACTTTTTAAGCGAACATCTTCTAGGCGCAAATGTTCTTTGAGTCCTATTCTTTACTTCATTAATATATGTTATTGTCACAGACTCTGCAAGATCATTATGGAACAGAAGGCATTTCTCAAAATGGATTGGAATTATTTGTTACTTCTGTTTTAAAGATATACGATTCCTTACAGGCAGCATACAAAGGTCTGATGCCCTCTTCTGATATAACTATGTGAATAAATCTTTAACTGCTCAACTTGTATCTTTTTTTATACTCACTTTGCTTAAGAGCTGAATTAATTTGTTTATACATCAGCATAGCATTTACTAGTTGCTATCCATGCTTTTGAATGCTTGTCGGTATTATGTATAGAAACTTCTTTATTTTTGGTTTACTTAAATATGCGGCTGTTTTTTTCTATTTAATTAGTTGTTGTCAACTATTGACGTCCCACTGTTCGCTGAAATTTTTTTACATGTGAGTCTTACAAATTATATTTTCCTTGTTTATTTCTGTACTCGAAATGAATATTTTGTATCATATGAGCAGGCCAACTAGTTGGGGTCGTCGTCTGTGGTGGATCCCATGCCCCAGCATCTGAGAATATGTTAAATGTGACGGTCGCTTCTCGACCATCTGCTCGTTGGTTGGAGGAAACTGAAGCCTCTACTGCTTTCATCAAAATTGAGGAAGTGGCACTGGTTAGAAAGGCACTTGCTTGGATAACAGGAATCATTCTTCTAATTTCCACTCTTTTGGGGGTAAGTTTCTATTGACAGTCTTAACAGCACCTTTTATATTTAGTTGAATTGCTACCGTATATAGCTTACTGCTTTCATTGATTGCTCTAGTGGAATTTTTATCTGCATATTTCAATTTTTTGTTGCAATCACTTGAAATTTATTCAATAATGTTAGCATTTGGTCAAATGCCTCCGGCATTTGTATTAACTGTCATCGTATTTTGGATTATATGCAAAGTAATGTAATTTGAACTGGCTGGAATTTTGTTGGCAACTGAATATAGTTTATCTTGAGTATGAAATATTTTCTTCATCCATTTTTATACAAAATATACCACTATTTGGAAAATTTGTAGCTATAGAATATATAGATGAATATATAGATAAATGTTAAGCTACCATTTGGAATAAAGACTACTTTACCAAAAAAAGTCAACTGTCATACTGAGATGAATAAATTATAACTTTAACCAATTTTTTTCTGTTGTCAATTGCTGACTCCGGAATGTGTAGCATTTGTATTTGCCAGTCAGGAGAAATCGATTAAATTAGTACTGATTAAAATGATAACAAAAATTTGCTTCTTTGGGTTATTAAGTTGCTTAATCCAATCCTCTGGTGACATATTAAAGATAAAATATGTAGGCATAATTTGATTTTCTTTTGGTATACAAATAAAAATTTCCACTATTGGAAACTGCCTCAGGTTGAATTAGTTTGCTTCTTGGTTCAGTTTCAGTTGGCAACCAACCTTAAAATATGCCTTTATGTGATTGGACTTGTAGCATATTCTTTGGATTGAAATAATGTCAGGTTGGATTTAGAGTTAGTTGACCTGCATCTCCACATTTTGTTTTGAGTCTCTGTACTTCCATCTTTTCTTCTTTTATCATTTATTTGTAATGTGATCAGTGAGTCTTCAAATAATCTTTTGCGGAGTGAGGTCGTGGTGCCTACGAACTTCCTATTTTGCCCTTGCTTGGGCTCCATTTTAATGAAAATTTGGGGGAAAATGAGTTTTGGAATAGTTATTTTTTTTGGAGAATGCGAGGTTAAAAAATAAGGGAAAGTTTTCGATGTACATGTAATTTTATTTTATGGGAGAATGTGGTTAAAAATGAGTTTTGAAAACATGAGTTTTTGAAAAAATGGTGGCCAAACATAGACTTTATCTGCATGGCATTGCTGGACTCAAAGGTGTTAGTATACAACATGCATACTAGTATACAAGCAATACTCATCTCAGCGTTTCTTTAATTGCTTTTGGGTTTCCATTATTATAATATTTGCATTTTCCATAACATCGTCTCATTGTGTTGTTTTGTTTTGGTGCAGATCCACTTTCTTTTGAATATGCCACTGACCAAGGACACACTTCTGTATTCCAATGTCAAGCTTGACTAGTTTTTCAAGGAAGCTGTTTATTTTGTTATTTAAACTGCCAGGAGATTGGGGCTGCAGTCCGATGAGATAAATTTATTGTGTATCTGCTCTTTCATCCCTTCACATTGGTGAAATTCAATATATATTTTTGTGATTGCAAACTCAACTTCTTACCACTCTGGATTTAGCTTGATTCTTTGTCAGTGTTACGATTAAATTGGAGTATACCAAGGGGGGAGAAGCTCGGATTCTGGCGAGTGATCTGTGACTGTGTATGTGATAGCTTTGGCTATGAGTCTGTAATCTGATGCTCTTAATAATACAGGCTCAGAGATATTGTTTTGTTTTCTAACAATTATCAAATAAGGCGCCAGCTTGAGCTTGTCGCTCTCTTATATTTAGTGCGTGTAGACACATGCTGTATATTGAAAATGTTTGGACGCAGTATTTGACACAATTAAGAGAGTAGAACTTATAATGTTGGTAGTCAATTATTAAAAGTCTTGGTGAATATTACCCCAAGGCTGTGGCTTAAAAGTTTTGGTTCTTTTATTGTTGGAAAACAATGTCCAATGTAAGCTATTTAGAGAGTACATGGCATTTCGTTGATGAAGGATTTAGATTCAATCTCTTGGTCTTTCGTTTGCTATTTGAACATCGGACCAGTAGAAATACCAGTTTTGCCTTTTTTCCTTTCCAACTGGTAGCTCCTCTTCTTAAAAATGGGTAGAGAGGGGTAAAATTATTCATTCTTAACTTCGGTTGACATCGTATGATCAATCATCACTTGTTCATTCGATACTAAAGAAGAAAACCGTATAGATAGTATAAAAATTCACGCCAAACACTTTTTTATGAAAACGGTATATACATTGTGAATTTCTCAAGAACAATCTTCACTTTTTTCTTTGAAACAAATCCAATCTAAGAATTTGTTGAAAGAGGTAGAAACTTAATCCCTTCAACAATGAGTTTTATTGTAATAGTTGCATTTTCCATAACATCATCTCATCGTATCATTTTGTTTCGGGACAGATGCACTTTCTTTTGAATTTGCCACTTACCAAATCACTATTCCAATGTCAAGCTTCAATAGTTTTTCATAGAAGCTGTTTTTTTCTGTTCGTTGAACTACCAGGGGGTCGGGCTCCTGTTCGATGAGATGAAGTTATTGTGAATCTGCTCCTTTTCCCTTTTTAATTTGGAAATTCAACAAAGATTTTTCGATTGTAGACTCAAATTCTTGCCACTCTGCATTTTGTTTGATTCATTATCAAACTAGACATAGTATACACCAATTGGGGGTACTTTGAAAAATGGCATGGTCAAAGCTCTTAGCTTTTTCATTTGATAAAAAGTCTATATTATTCTTAATGAAATGAATTATTTTATTTTAGGATAATTCCTTTTCCTTTAGATTATCTTTGCATATAAGTTTTTATCTTATATTTCTAATTTTAATATATAGTTCCATTCTATGATCTAACAAATTAGAATAATTTGTGACATATATATCATGTTCTTTATTAATTTTATCATATTCTTCAGATAATATATCCATATATTCCTTTTGATCTATGATATTTTTTATTTTTTTTTAAACATTTTGTCTAATAATATATCTAATCCATCTATAGTATATCTGGCACCTTAATTATTATAACAAAACATACATCATTATAAGACAAACATCAATATGAATAATCCCTTCAATTCTTTTAAGATCTAAGGAGAATTCTTTATAATTTTAACAAAACTAATAGTTTTACATTAATTTTGATCTTAGGTCTTTATTCTTAGAACCGAGTGACATTCAAGTTCTGGATTTGCAAACCACTCCCTTTATTCTATGATCTAACAAATTAGAATAATTTGTGACATATCTATCATGTTCTTTATTAATTTTATCATATTCTTCAGATAATATATCCATATATTCCTTTGATCTATGATATTTTTTATTTTTTTCAAACATTTTGTCTAATAATATATCTAATCCCTCTATAGTATATCTGGCACCTTAATTATTATAACAAAACATACATCATTATAAGACAGACATCAATATGAATAATCCCTTCAATTCTTTTAAGATCTAAGGAGAATTCTTTATAATTTTAACAAAACTAATAGTTTTACATTAATTTTGATCTTAGGTCTTTATTCTTAGAACCGAGTGACATTCAAATTCTGGATTTGCAAACCACTCCCTTCAACGCCTTTTGCCTTTACGAGATCCTTGCTATTCAAACTTTTGTTCTCACTGTATCTATTCTTAAAATTAAAACTATAGATCCTCTATAAGGAAAACTCTTCTTTTGTTAAAGTAAGAAAGAAATCTTTCCCTTAATCATTCAAGAATCTATTGGATAAGTGGTTTAGAAACTCATATCTTTCTAAAAAAATTGGGATTGTATTGATTTATTGGCTGAAATAGAAAGAAAAGTTTGGCTATCTCACAATTTGAGCTCTCAGTCACTCCTGCCTTACATCTAACCTGAAGGCTTCTATTTATACAATCACACGAGGCTCAATTATCAGGCCTCTTACATCATTGCTTACGTTAGTATCACTAATAATCTATCAAAGGCATCCTTCCTTTCTATTATTGTCCTTATAATCTTATCTTTACATGCAGCTAGCAAGATTCTTTAGTAGTGGTAGGACCTCCCAACTCTATTATTATAAAAGTTATATCACATCTTCTTTATCTTGGAATCTTTTGTAACTTTCTTTCAATTCTGTCGGCATGTGGGGCATTCTTTCAATCTGCATGCCTCTTGGATTGTTGTAGCACTTCCATTACTTTGATGAGTATCAAACTTTTGGATGTATTCTTTCAAAATTGTAGACTTTTCTTTTCCATTATTTGTTAAGAGAGTCCATCCTTCATATTGGTATAGGCATCTGAACTTTTTTTCATATAATTTTTTTGTCATATTGTAAAGGACCTTCATTCCCAAAATTCTTCGAGCTTTAATCCATGATCTTGTGATTTTTGGTAATGGTTTATTATTTTGACCGACTTCAATTTGGAAATCTCGGCCTACATATCCGATTGTGATAATATGTTATGCAGGATAGCATATCCTCCCATCAACCTGTTGTCTAATTGAATAAGATTTGATATATGTCGATCTTCCCTTGTCAAATTTTGAGACTTATGATTTAAATATATCATCAAAATTTTCAATCTCTTAAATCT